CATGCCCTGGGGCAAGTTCCCCTGGAGGGCTTCAGACCTCAGCCGTGACCTGATTCTGACTTTCACATTGAAGAGCACCTAGGGGCCAGTGTGGACAAGCGCTACCAGGAAAGGCTTTGTGGGAGCCAGTGGAACCTTCTACCCCAGAATTACAGAAAAGTCACAATCTATGAGCAGTGGAAGATTTACCCCCTTTTTAAAAAAAATTTTAAATATATTTTTATTGATTTCAGAGAGGAAGGGAGAGGGAGAGAGAGATAGTGTTAACGTAAAATAAACATTGAAACCTGTAAAGAATTGTTGTGAGCTTATTTGAGCCAAATTTTTGACATATGCTGGGAAGCAGAACCTCAAACATTGAAATAATGCTCCGGAGAATGGCGGGTTACATCTGTATTTATACTTTGCAATCAAAGGAAAGGGACGCAGGTGGGTCACATTAAATCCATTGGTGATAGACTAGGGAGGCGGGAGAAAGCAAAGCAGGGGAAACCCCCGGGATTGGATAAAAAGTAAAATGATGGACACATACTTAGGTGGGTGCAGGAACAATTAACATAACAATGAAGGAATTTGTGGTATCTGTCCTGGAGCCCAGGTACATTAGGTTGTGCCCCAAGGGGTCCAGAAAAAGAAAGGGAAGTTACAAGTTACCCAGACATTTCAAGGGTATGTTATCATAGATGCAAAAAGACAGACAGGCTCAGTTAAGGTCAAGGCTAACCTTGTCAGTGAAGATACCGGCCTAGGAGGTGACTACCCACCATCACTGCTTTTAGTAAAAGTTTAATTTCAGACCATCCTTTGTGGTGACTTTAGGTCTCTGAGTTTGCAAGCCCGCCATGCAGGCCTCCCCTGAACTGTCAGGTCAGCATGTGGCCCCTTTCGTCCACAATAGAAACATCAATGATGAGAGAGAATCATGGATCGGCTGCCTCCTGCACGCCCCACCCTGGGCATCAAGCCCGCAACCCGGGCACGTGTCCTGACCGGGAATGGAACCGTGACCTCCTGGTTCATAGGTCGACGCCCAAGCACTGAGCCACGCCGGCCGGGCAGATGCACCCCTTTCAAACGGTTCCTCCAGGAAGAAGCAATAAGCCTGCTCACGCCCACCGCGTGGCTGAATGAGAAGGCAGGTCAGCGGGATGCGGGGAAAGTCCCGCCGCCGGCGAGAATGTGAGGGCGCAGCTGCTTTGGAAAATAGCTTGGCGGTGTCTTAAGCGTGAAGCATACCTTTATCTCCCTGTGACCTGGCGAGTCCACCCCGGACATCTACCAGGAGGAATGAAAACCTTCCCACATAAACTCCTGTTCCCGATGCTTGTCGCAGCAGCACTCGCTGTTAGGACGCACTGCCCTGGCCTCTCCTGCTCCGACATGTTTTCTGAAACGCACATGGTTACAAGCTTTCCCAGGGCTTGGGGCAGGCGGCCAGCGCCTGCAGCAGCAAGATAAGAACTCGTCCCCCTGACGGCCCTATGCACGCCCCTGCCTCGCCTCTGCTTGACCCACTGGCGCACCCACGTCCCGACCCTCCGTGGCACACTCCCGCCCCATGTAGAGAACCTGGCCACCCTCGGCTCACACCCACACGCTGGTCTCAGCCGCCGAGAGAGGATGGAGCACAATTTCCTAAGCTCTCAGCACGGCTCGTGGCCTGGCTCCTGTCCGCACGGACCCGACACCCACAATGGCCGATACGTGGAAACCACTCACACGTCGTCAGTGGTGATGGGCGCACGGCATGCGGTGTGTCTACCGAGATGCTGACACACGCGACGTGCGTGCGCCTCAGAACCACGATGCTGAGTGAGAGAAGCGACGGGCAGAGAAATCCCACACATATTGTAGGGTTCCGTCTGTACGAAATGGCCAACAGCCAAACCTACAGAAACAGAAAGTAGGCTGGTGGTTGCCAGGGGCTGAGAGGAGGGTGGGAAGTCATTGCAAACGGGCCGTGGACACCTTTTGGAGGATGGAAACGTTCTAAAAGCAGACCGCCGATGGTTGTGCAACTCTGTACGTTTGCTAAAGAGTCACTGAATCACACACGTGAATTGTGCCCCCAGCACTGCATGCTGCTTCCTTAATCTGAGCCCCAGTCTAGACACAACCCTGGGGGGGGGGCCACCCAGCTGGGCCAGCTCCCCCCAGGCCTTTCCGGGCCCCCATCCGGGCCACCTGGGGTGGGGGTGGGGACTGTCCTCCGAGTCACAGCATTTCTTACCTCCCTAGGGGCTGTTCCTTTTGCTTCTCTGTCCTCTCTAGACTGGATCTGGGAAGCGAGGACTTGCCTGTCTTGTTCCTCGCTGTGCCAGCTGCTCAAACAGCGGGCGCTCCTCCCGTTCGGGGAGGTTTCATGGAGAAGCAGGGGATCCTGCCTGTTGGGGAGAGGGTCCTGCGGGCACACCTGCAGGACGAGGAGTGTGCCTTTAAGTCAGCTTTTCCAGATTTCCTTTAAATCTTATTGTGAAAGCTCTGGTTTCGTTTTAACTAGAACAAGATTCCGGAATGGAAGCAAGCCAGGGACTCTCTCACTATTTGGTCATTCAGCATGATGCCGTCACCGTGTGCCAACAGGATCCCCAAACAGCTCCGGGAGGTGCTTTAGTTTAGGCAACTCTGCCACGTTGACTTATTCTGCTCACAGGGCTCGAACGCTTTCACAGCCCGCCCCCTGCCGGGCCGCTGAGAATTGCTCTTGGCTCTGACAGCTCCCTCTTCAGGTGCGCGAAGCCACACCCCACCCCACCCACATATCCCCTGCCCCACCCGAGTTCACACCCGCACCCCTTCACTGCTCTGCTTCCCTCCGGCCTCTGCCCGCCTCGTTCATCCTCTGAACTACCCCCCATCACATCTCCAAGAACACCAGTCTTATCACTCTACTCCTCAAAAGCACTCAATGGCTCCCTAGTGCCTGTGGAATTGGCCCACATTCTTTAGCCTGGCATCTGAGATCCTTCATCATCTGGCCGGGAACCATCTTTCTGAAATGACCCCCGCCATTCCCTGCCCCCCATGCAGTTTCCACTCGTTCTTTAAGACACAACTCGAGGAGGCGCCCCAGATCACCTGCCAGCCCCGATGACGGGAGAACCTGGCGCTGTCCATGCCACCTCAGCACTGAGCTTACGCTGCCTCTTTCATTGCTGCTGTGTCTGGTCCTTACGAGGAACCGTTTCTAATCTCCTTGAGGACAGGCACCAGGCCTTAAAACAAACGTTATTGCACCCGGCCAGCGTGGCTCAGGGTTGAGTGTGGACCTGTGAACCAGGAGGTCTCGGTTTGATTCCCGGTCAGCGCACATGCCCGGGTTGTGGGCTCCATCCCCAGTGTGGAGCCTGCAGGAGGCCGCTGATAGGTGATTCTCTCTCATCATCGATGTTTCTCTCCCTCTCCCTTCCTCTCTGAATTAAAAAACATATATATTAAAATAAAAGAAATTATTGCAAAAATTGTAATACTGGTCTGGCACTTTCGCAGTTATTATCTTTCCCTCCTCATAATGGCCGTGTGGAGTAGGTAGCCCACAGGGTATAATCCCCACCTGCAGAGGTGAAGCCAGACGCAGAAGCCAAGTAAGTAGCTCGCAGTGGCACAGCGCGCAGCAGGGCCGGGAGCGGGCGGGGCACCCTGCGGTCACCCTGTGCACTTCCCATTTCCCAGGCCTCAGCTACGGCGAGTCACAGCCAATATTTGTCAATTGTATAATCTCTCATTTCAATCTCTGGACAAAGTGCGGTTGCCATAGCGACCTGGTGTTTCCCTGCAGATACAGCCTCCTCTCTGCCCGCTCCATAGGCGGCCACACCCTGCGCTGGACAGACCGGGTGGGAAGTCCCACGCACCAGGTCACCAGATCCCCGTGCAGCTTCTGCCCTTTAATCCCTGTGTGACCTCGGGGAGCCCCCCACCCCCCATGAAGGACTGGGCAGCAGGCCAGGGCTCTCACATTAGGTGCTGGGAGCTGTCTGTCTGTTTTTTAAATTAGTGAGCCCCTAAGGCGCTGTGGGAAATGTAATTTGCCAAGTTTAATAACTACACCATTGCCCCCAGCAGTCCTAGGCCTGCTGGTTCTCACTGACCTGGCCGTAAGAAAGGCGGGTGTCCCTGGTGCCCGATGCCCAGGCCCAGC